GTGATTAGTGCGTCGGAGATGAATTATTTGCTTTATTTACCGAGGAATTTTTCGGGGAATGTGCAAAAACAGTTGGAGGATTACCGCTATCTTGCTTTACCTACGATTGAAAAGCACGTTCTTCTTCATGATCCGCAATATTTTGTTAAAGTTGATGGGAGACTCACTCCTAATAAAATGTTTAATGTAGTGCAAACTCGTTTACGGCTTTTACCGATTCCGAGTGTTGTTGTTCCCGAAATTTTGATCGAACCCGAAATTCCTGTTATCGCGGAAGGAGGTGCGGTTGAACCAATTTTGGATTATTCATCGAAAAGTCCGTTGGAATGTTTCGATCAGTTGAGAAAAATGAAAATTATTGGGAAGATGTTTAAAACGAATTGGTCTCGTTGGGGGATAATGTGCCCGGTTGCCATGAAGGATGGATTATATATCCCGGGTCGAACTCAATTTTGTGTTAAATTTTTAAACAAGATTTTTTGTATTTCTGAAGAACACGCGATGATGAGATTTATAAGAAACCCTCGCCCGTACTTATTACCACCATTCCCCAAACCACCTTGCAAGATTTTTGTGATTGGGCCCCCCGTTTCGGGGAAAAGCGCGGTTGCAAAATCGGTTGCGTTATTTTTGGATGGAAAAGTTTTAGATACTTTTACTTTACAAACTGAGTATTGCGAGAAAATGAATAAACAATACAAAGAAAATGTGCGAAATGATGCGATGAATGAAGCACTGGCGATTTTGATCAATTTGAAGCAAGAGGAATATATGATTAAGTTGCAAGATCAAGAGAATGCGTTGCAATCCTGGAAAAATGAGGTTATGCAAGTTTTAAGTGAACGAATTCATTTAGAAAGTGCGCAAATGGATGAAGGAGAAGAGGAGGACCCTTTAACTCCGCTACAACCTATTAAAGAATTATCGGAACAATACGAAGTTGATTTGGAGGAAATAAGATCAAAAATGATTGATTTAGAAATACCCGAATTATTATGTGATGATACCGCTAAGTGTCAAGATATACTTGAAGGTATTTTGAGTATTGAAGAGTATTGTGACATTCCCGCCCGGTTTAAAGAGATAATTCCCGAACCAGAACCACCAAGTATTTTTGATGAATTCGTTGTGAATTTCGCCGATGAGAGAGTTTCAAACACTCTTAATTTGCCGTTCGATTCAAACGAAGATTTCATCGACATGTATGTTAGTGCAATTAAGGAAACTGAGGATAAAAATATTGATGCTGGTTTGTATCATGGTGGATGGGTTGTTGATGGGATGCTCCCCGAACCCGAAGTTATCGACGGAGTAATGCAAGAATTTTATCCCTACGAAATTTTAGTCCTAATAGATAACAGCCAACAATATCTACAAGAACGCTATAAATTACGAGATCAAAATATTTATCAAGATTATAACACATTTTTTGAGAAAGTCAACAAACCTGAAATTGCTATGAAAGTTGCCTCGATAACAACAACTTTTTCGTACAAAACTCGGCTTGCTCGCGGGATTTTGAATCAAGTTTTAGAGACCAAAGAGTTTGATGGTAATGAAACGACCCACGGTGAAGAAGGAGAATTTACAGATATTGAGGATACGACGGGGGAGTTTGTCGATGAAGATTATTTTTTGACCCATGCAACTCGATTGGAAATTAGAGAATATGAAAGAGCGCTTTATAAATTTAACTTGAAAACCGATACTTTATTAGTTTTTTTGGAGGATAGTGGTGTTCCGTATCATATAGTTGAGTTATCTTATAAACCTTTAGAGGATGTTATGAAGTATGTCATAAAACACATTGATAGTCGCTACCAATATTCCGCATCTCAAATGACTCCCATCGAGAAACTAGAAGAAATAGAAGATTTCGGGGAAACGATAGAAGCAGCTGAAGGGACGGGGGAGGAAGCCGCGCAACCTTCAGGGGACCCAGACGCTTTTGTAAAAAATCGGCGTTTAGGAACGAGCATTTTTTGCCCGGTTACTTATTCTAATCATTGGGTCCTTTGGAAAGGAAAAGAAGAATTTGCTTGCAAATACAACGATTACGTCTATCTTATAGCAACGGAGGATTCAATGAATGATTTTATCAAATCTCCGTTAGATTACGTTTTAAATAAAGCCCCGGAAAAAATCCCCCCACCAAGAATTTGCGTCGTTGGCGTCCCCGGAAGTGGAAAAACCGTTTTAGCACGATCACTCCATCGCCATTTAGGACTTTACTATTTATGTTACGACGAATTATTAAAACGAGTTTTTAACAAACAAGATGACCCAAGAGAAATGGGACTTATCCTCACAGAAATGAAAGATTCCCCCGAAGGTTTAATCGTCCAAAATTATTTAGACAACGACGAACCATTCACTGAAGAAACTCGAAAGTTATTAAACATAGACAACATTTGGTTTGAAGAACCAAAACGTTCAACTGGATTTGTTTTTGACGCGTTCCCCCGGCGTCCAAGCGATTTCGCCTACATAAAACAACATTGTTTAATTCCCGACATTGTCATTCAAATATCTTGCACTGGAATAGAAATTAATAGGAGGCGCGTTCAAAAATTATTTCACGATTGGCAAGTTATTCGAGATGAACAACGCGAAGAGAACGAAAGAATCTATGTAGAGGAATACACCCAATGGGAAATTCTTCGCAAAACTCGAATCGATGAACTAATGGAGTCTAAACGACAAGAAAGATATCAAAAAAAACTTACTGAAGATAAAAAATCCCCCGATGCAGGTGAAGACGAACTCCAATCCCAAGTAAGTTTTGATTCCGTCGCTGAAGCTGCCGATTTAAACGAAGCCACAAAAATCGCTGATTCAGAATACCCCGAACCTAAATTAATTATCGATGAAGAAAGCGAAGAAGACGCTTTACAAAGATTCATAGATTTGGCCCAAAGAGAATATGTAACATTCTCGGATTATTTCCGAATACTACAAGAAAATTGCGCTGCCGAATTAATCGATTGGATTTCGATCGACGGCGATTTAAGCGAAGAGAAAGTTTTTTCTCAAGCTTTAATAATAATTGATAAAATAAAATTTCGTAATAAATCGGTGATGCAAAGATGTTACGATATAAACCTCGATACCGCCGAAGATTTAATTTCAACTGGTCACTATTTTTTGAGTCGATTCGGGAGAGCTTGTCCCGTTCAACTTTACGACTTGAAAAACACCATTCACATGTTTTTACCGATGGAACAAAGATTCGAAATTTATCCCTTATTACACGGTTATTTCATTTACTTTTTAACGGGAAAATTAAACCGTCAAAAATTTATTGATAACCCGTTAAAATATATTTGGGAAGCCGACGCTAATTTCCCAATCATTCCTTTTCGCGTTGCGATTATTGGGCCACCGAAAAGTGGTAAAACGGATTTAGCCGAACGATTTAAGAATGATTTGGGTATGAAGTATATTAGTATTGGGCAAGCTGCTAGATATGTTTTACGAAACCTTCCGTTTTCGAAATTAGCTAAAGATATGGAAGCTGTTTTAAGAAAGGGTTGGGAATTAACCAGCGAAATGACGATGAAATGTGTTGAAGCGATGGCTTTTGATCCACGAGGGCAAAGTCAAGGTTTGGTTTTCGATGGATTTCCAAATAGTAAATACGATGTTATGCATTTAGCCGAAAGGGGGTTAATCCCACATTTAGTTCTTTACCTCGATGCCGATAAAGATGATATGGAAGATTATCGCTTGCACGATAGAGGGAGGCGTGGATTACCCGTTTTTGGGAAGGCTTTTATCGAGCATAGACGGAGCGTTTGGGATTCGGGTGTTGACCAATTTACAGATTGGTTCGATAAGGAGTATCAAATTTACACGAAAATTCAAGTAAAAAATTGTAAATGGAGTATTTGGGACACAGCTTACAAAATAGCAGTTGATGTTCTGTATGAAGTTAAAAGTTATTTCAAAAATTGTCATCGCGATATGGCACTACACATAGCCAACATGCAAGTAACCCCAGCTGAATTTCTTAAAAGACAAAGTATTAGTTTTAAACATTATTGCCCTGTTTGTTTACACTACGATAATCACTTAATTAATGGGGGAATGCCCCCTGATAGAACAGGTCTTATCCAATACAAACAAAATTTTTATTGGGTGTGCAGAAAACACATGAAAGAATTCGCCGATGAACCCGCCTCTTTCTTAACCCCCTACAACAAACATCAACTCCCGGCCGATTTACCCGAAGCTTTACACTTAGATCACATGCCAGATAATGTTTACGAAGATGGTTATTGCATTGTGTGTTTTTGGGATGGCCAACCATCCAGATTATTAAACAAGGGAATCTTAGACTACGCAGTGTTATTCCGCGAAATCTACTATCTCTTTGACACCCAAGAATGCTTAGACATCTTCATGTCTGACCCATTCACATACTTCCAGAAAAAAATCGGGTATAAAGGAAACTCTTGCGAATCATTCAGCTTAGAGAAACTTTCAATTCAAGGCTACGTAGAACAATACATAATCAGAGACATAGTTAAAGCAGTTACACGTATAGGAACTGTAAGACCTGTCGTTGCAGGATTAGGAATAGAAAAATCTGCGCTGATCGGTTTAGGCCTTTACTTAAAAGTCCAGAACCAAAACGCAACGGAGGAAAGCCGCGAAATGTATAAACAGGCTTTAGAGTTATTTAGACAGAAACGGTTTACTTTAATGAATTATATAGCGAAAATAAAAAAATCAATAAATCCCTACTTACATTATGAGGAACCGTTGGAACCTTTAGTTTTTCCGGAATATAAGATTGAGGGTAGTTCTACTAGTGGGGAATTAAAAAGTTTAACTCAACAAATCATGGATTACATGCAACCCGGAGATTACACGGGAGGAGAATATGACGCAGGATAATCTTGTATTAAAATATGTTTATTATTATATTATTATTAAAAATTCTTATCAAATTAATTTTGAGTTTATTGTGATTTTATAATAAATTATTGTTTCAGCACGTCGTGTTCCTGTTCCCGATGAACGCTTCGACTATTTATGTGAATACTTTAAACCGGCGAGGTAAGAAAAAAATTTAAAAAAATATTATTTAACCACACGCCGGTTTCTATTTAACGATAAAATGCTAGTTTTGTCGGGTTGAATTTTTAAAATACCACCATAATTCGAGTAGTTTCGAACCTGTTTTATTCCCATCGTCGATCTGGCGCCTACAAATTGGCAGCACCCTCATTAGAAAGCACAATTACGACTCGACACGCCCGCTATGTGTATAAACGACTTTTTCTCATAATAGTCTAAACGCCGCTTCGTAGACGAATAAAATTGTGTGAGTCGGTCGGTCCTTTTATCTTCGTAAAGGGACTTTTGTCAAATTAATAAACCTTAAAATTATAGTGAATCTCTACTTAGTCCTTTTTGACTCAACACGAATATATCGAAAACGGCAGGTTCTATCTCACATTTTAATCGGGCTATATTAATTAATTATATCTGCGGCTTAAAAAGCGATAGTCTATAATAATAAATAATTTTTTTTTGCGGAATCTGTAAATATGTTGCAGTAGTAAGCAAAATAAGCGTCAAAAACTAAATTGAATTAAAGTCCAGGTAAATCCTGTTGTAATACCCTTGGTTATGAATTATTTTTATACCAAATCAATGTTTGTCAACGCTTTCGCCAAGTATTAGGGTAGCACCACTTGAGGCTGTGTTCATCCTCAACCGCAGCAACCTTCAGAAGCAGTGATCTACACAAGATTTCCATTGAAAAGAGTATGTATCGGCATTGTTTCTATAAAAGTGCTCCGACATCACAAATCATTTTGAAAACTACTTTCAAAACATCACATTTTTGCAAAAGAATTTGTGATGTTGATCAACACAGAAGCAGTAAGCTTATTGGTCAACCGGAAATTAAAGATAATATCTTCTTCAATATTGTTATACCACAATGTAACGCTGAATAACAATTAAAACTGGAACTAACGCTAGACGTAGATCTAGAAACATTCAGATTTAGCCGCACGTCTCTCAAGACGACTAAACCCGAATGATTTTAGTTCTAGGTCTTGTGTTAGTTCTAGTGCAAAACTACCAATATATATTTGATAGGCTGCTATTCCTGCGATATCTGGAGTCACGGATTTGGGATTTTAAGTTGAATATTAAATACTGGTAGCAGAAGACTAAAACTGCTAGCAAGAATTAGATACTGCTAATGGAACACTAAATACTGCTAGTAGAAGAGAAGTTGTTGCTTGCACAAGATTAGATTCAGCTAAGAGAGATCTAGATACTGCTAATAAAAGGATGGTTACAGTTGACAACAGATTAAATACTGTGGGGGAGAAATAAAAACTGTTAATGGATGACTGGATACTGATTACAGAAGACTTCATTCTGTCGTAAAAGGATTAGATGTAGCTTATAGATGACTACTGTTTGCTGAAGATTAGCTAGTATTAACAGAACGCTAGACCTTGCTAAGAATCGTTAACTTCGTATTGCTAATGAAAAACGTGATATTGCTTATGGAAGATAACTTAGTCCTTGCAGAAAAATTGATAGCGCTGTGAGAGAACTAAATACTGCTAGTGAATGACTGAATACTGATTGCAGAATACCAGATTTTGCTCTGAAAAGACTAGATCCTGCTTATAGATGACTAATATTTGCAGAAGCTACTACTAAGAAAAGCTTACATTCTGCTAATGGAAAACTGAATACTGATTGCAGAAGACTTAGTTAGAAGACTTAGTTAACTTGATTCTAGTTAACACATTGCTATTAGAGGACTATTCCTGCTAATAAATGACAATATACATTATATATCATTATATATTAAATACTGCTGTCAAGAGATAAGATATTGTTAAAACTTGCTTTATATACAAGGTGTCTCACGTAACTGGTTCGTTATTTCCAAGATGACTGCCACTTCCGGTCTACCAGAAGTAGACCATAACTTCGTTATTTTAAATGGAATGCTATTGTTTTTCTTACACCTTTTAGTTGTACGTAAAAAAAATATGTTGACTTTCATAAAAGTTATTGGTACCTAGCGTCTTCTGTTTTCGAGTTATTTTGATTTTAAGGTTTTCTTGAAAAATTTCACCATACTCTTTAAAACCCTATATTCCAACGTTCATTCAAAATAGCTCAAAATTGGCACGATTATTCTTCAGATGCTGTCAAATAGTTTGCCATTTGTTGTATCAGAGTATCTTATATCGGATGGTCCAAAATTGAATTACCGTTTCTCCATATTCAACCGCTAAAATGTCCAAAATTTGAAATGGAACACCCCATATTTTATTGGCCTACCTGAAAGTGAATGTAATTCTCTACAAATTATCTATAAACATGCCTATACCTATTTATTATAGTTTCTCTCATATTGGAAATTTTTTACGTACTATTAAATGGTGTAATAAAATTCCATTTAAAATAACGAAGTTATTCAAGTTATGGTCTACTTCCGAGAAACCGGAAGTGGCGGCCATCTTGAAAATATTTTAGATAGAAAGTTCTGAATGAACAACCCATGTTACCAAAATGTCAAATCTCTACGAATAGTGGAACCTGAAAAAGTTCTAACGAACCAGTTACGTGAGACACCCTGTATATTAGATATTGCTAAAAACGCTCCTTGAATTAAAGGAGCAAGATTTTGCTCTTTGGTATGATTTTTCTTTGGAATATTGAATAAGACAGCGTACTGTAGAGTTATTAGAAATGTTCATGTTAAGAATAAGGTCAACAGAGTTACACGGTTTAAAATACAGTACATAAATGACACACGCTGTGTGTCAAATGTCTGGAATACAGCCAATAACTTCGCCATTTGTGGTTTTAAAGAAAAATGTTTCAAATAAAAAATTCTGTATATTTGCTATATTTGCTTGTTTACATTGTTTTTTGTTTCGTTGTTATGGCAACCAACATTATTATTTTAAATGGGATGTATATGTTTTTCTTGCATATTTTGATAGAGGATAAATCCTTCTACGCAATGAACACATGAAATCAACAAATTACAATCAAAGTAGGCGCCGAAATAACGCCGTTTGGCAGATTTAACTGTAAAAAAATTGACAGTTCAAACAAATATGGCGCTATTAAGAATCCAAATATTAATGATGTATGGGTATAGCGAAAGAAAACGCACTCAATGTGGAGTTTGTACACTGTTCAGTAATATTTACCCGGATACACAAATTACACAATCCACAGTATCCAAAATATTAAAAAAATTCTTTAACACCGGAAGTGTTAAAAACCTTCCAAAAAGTGGACGGCCGAAGGCAGCTACCAATGACGAAACTACATTAAATGTGTGTCACCGCACCCATACACTATTAATTATTCATAATTGTTGAAACTGGCATTTTTGGAATTTAAAGTTTTCAACGGCGTTATTTCGGCACCTACTTTGATTGTAATTTGCCTGTGTTAATATTTTTAGAAAACGCGTTTTTTCTCGGTTTTTTTCTTATACAATCATATGATTTGATATGTTCATCGCATAGAGAGATTCAGCCTCTATCAAAGTGTGCAAAAAAAAATATATGCATCCCATTTAAAATAACAATGTTGGTTGCCATAGCAACGAAACAAAAAACAATACAAACAAGCAAATATCGCCATAAAGTGCGCTGCGATTAATAAAAAAACTTGTAATTAAAACATTTTTCTTTAAAACCGCAAATGGCGAATATTCCAGACATTTGACACACCCCGGTACTTTTACGCAGCTTTTAATTTGTAGAGAATTAAATTCTCTCTCTGATAGGCTAAAAAAATATGGGCGTTCCATTTAAAATTTTCAACTTTTTCACCATTGAATATGGAGAAACAGTAATTCAATTTTTGACCATCCTGTATAAGATACTCAGATATAACAAATGACAATCTATTTGACAACATCTGAAGAGTAATCGTGCCAACGTAGATCTTTTTTGAATGAACGTTGGCTGAGATATCAAGTTTTAAAGAGCATGATGAAATTTGCCAAAAAAGCCTTAAAATCAAAATAACTCGAAAACGAAAAATACTAGATACCAATAACTTTTATGAAAGTCAACATGTTTTTTTACGTACAATTAAAAGGTGCAATAAAAACTATAGCATTCCATTTAAAATAACGAAGTTATGGTCTACTTCCGGTAGACCGGAAGTGGCAGCCATCTTGAAAATATTTTAGATCGAAAGTTCCCACTGAACAACCCATACTACCAAAATTTCAAAACTGTACGAATACTGGAACCTAAAAAAGTTCTAACGAACCAGTTACGTGAGACACCTGTATAAGTAAACCGTAGAATTTAAAATTTTGTATGTATGTATTACTGGTTAACACCTTATTTTCAACCATACCTTAAACTTCCCAAATTCTACGGTTGATTTATAGCAGAAATATAAAACAAAATGTAAATTTTTGGCTCAACTTTGACAACTCATAGCNTTCAGATGCTGTCAAATAGTTTGCCATTTGTTGTATCAGAGTATCTTATATCGGATGGTCCAAAATTGAATTACCGTTTCTCCATATTCAACCGCTAGAATGTCGAAAATTTTAAATGGAACGCCCCATATTTTATTAGCCTACCTGAAAGTGAATGTAATTCTCTACAAATTATCTATAAACATGCCTATACCTATTTATTATAGTTTCTCTCATATTGGAAAATTGATCAAAACACGCAGGAAATGCCGGAAATCGTTTGTATTTTTATTAGAAAGTCATGACATTTTGACGGTTTTTCGTTTAATTTATTTCTATTATTATTTGTACTAGTATCTACGATTGATAATCTTTTAGTTTACTACTTAACTTTTATTTACCAAAAATAACAAACAGAAGGTTAATTGAAACAAAAAATTAATGGCAAAAATTACATTTGGATAAAAAATATAAATTTATAATATAAATTTGTTACTAAATTTCATTTGGAAATGCAGTAAAATACGATAAAATATTTATTTCGTTGTCTTCATCACTGGTGACCGGAAATAACTGTTTCTTTTCGTCTCGATATGTCCGTAACTAAGAAAATCTT